TCAAAGCGCCTTTGCTGGTTTGGCTCAGTGGATAGAGTGTCAGCCTGCAGACTGAAGAGTCCTGGGTTCAACTCCAATCAAGGGCACATGCCCGGGCTGTGGGCTTGATCTTCAGTGGGGGTGGGCAGGAGGCAGCCAATCAATGATTCTCTCTCATCAATGAAGTTTCTATCTCTCCCTCTCCCTTCCTCTCTGAAATCAATAAAAATATATTAAAAAATAAACATAAAAATATATTTTTAAAAAAGACTCAAAGCAAAGTAGACTTTCTAGCACAATGTCCTCAAGGTCCATCCATGATGTTGAAATGGAAAGATTTTCTTTTCTAATAGCTGAGTAATATTCCATTGTATATATGTACCACATCTCTCAGTGATCCATTCATCCTCGCTTGACACTTAGGTTGCTGTCAAGTCTTGCCTATTGTAAATAATGCTGCAATAAACATGGAGGTACAGGTATCTTTTGGAAATAGTGTTTTGTGGAACTCTTCTGTTAATGGTGACCCCAGACTCTATGACATTTTTTTTTCCGAATTCATTTATTAAGTCTAATAGTTTTTTGATGGAGTCTTTAGGGTTTTTTATGTATAATATCATGTCATCTGCAAATAAGGACAGTTTTACTTCTTCTTTTCCAATTTGGATGCCTTTTATTTCTTCTTCTTGTCTAATTGCAATGGCTAATACTTCCAGTACTATGTCGAACAGGAGTGGTGAGAGTGGGCATCCCTGTCTTGTTCCTGTTTTTAGGGGAAATGGTGTTAGTTTTTGTCCATTGAGTATGATGTTGGCTGTGGGTTTGTCATATATGGCTTTTATTATGTTGAGGTATGATCCTTCTACTCCCACCTTGCTGAGAGTTTTTATCAAAAATGGGTGTTGAATTTTGTCAAATGCTTTTTCTGCATCAATTGATATGACCATGTGGTTTTTTTCTTTCAATTTGTTTATGTGATGTATCACGTTGATTGATTTGCGGATATTGTACCATCCTTGCATCCCTGGAATAAATCCTACTTGGTCATGGTGTATGATCTTTCTGATGTACTGCTGGATCCGATTTGCTAAGATTTTGTTGAGGATTTTGGCATCTATGTTCATGAGGGATATTGGCCTGTAATTCTCTTTCATTGTGTTGTCTTTACCTGGTTTTGGTATTAGGGTGATGCTGGCTTCATAGAATGAGCTTGGAAGTGTTCCTTCCTCCTGAATTTTTTGTAGTAGTCTGAGGAGGATAGGTTTTAGTTCTTCCTTGAAAGTTTGGTAAAACTCCCCTGAGAAGCCATCTGGTCCTGGGCTTTTGTTTGCTGGAAGCTTTCTGATGACTGCTTCAATTTCTTCCATAGTTATTGGCCTGTTGAGATTTTTAGATTCTTCCTGATTAAGTTTTGGAATGTTGTATTTTTCTAGAAATATGTCCATTTCCTCCAGGTTGTCTAGTTTGTTGGAGTAGAGTTGTTCATAGTATTTTTTAACAATCATTTGTATTTCTGTGGGGTCTGTTGTTATTTCGCCTCTATCATTTCTGATTTGGTTTATTTGGGTCCTCTCTCTTTGCTTTTTGGTGAGCCTGGCTAGAGGTTTGTCGATCTTGTTTATCCTTTCAAAGAACCAGCTCTTGGTTTCATTGATTTTCTGTATTGTTTTTTTGGTCTCTATGTCATTTATTTCTGCTCTAATCTTTATTATCTCCTTCCTTCTGCTCACTCTGGGCTTTTCTTGTTGCTCTCTTTCTAATTCTTTGAGCTGTAGATTTAGATGATTTACTACCATTTTTTCTTGTTTGTTGAGGTAGGCCTGTAGAGCTATAAACTTCCCTCTCAGGACTGCTTTCATTGTGTCCCAAAGGTTTTGGATTGTTGTGTTTTCATTGTCATTAGTTTCCAGGATGTTTTTAATTTCTTCTTTGATCTCATTGGTAACCCAATCAATATTTAATAACATGCTATTCAGCTTCCAAGTGTTTGAGTATTTTGGGTTGTTTTTATTGTAGTTTATTTCTAACATTATGCCATCGTGGTCTGAGAAGAAGCTTTTTATGATTTCAATCTTCTTGAATTTGGGGAGACTTTGTGACCCAATATGTGGTCTATTTTTGAAGATGTCCCATGAGCACTTGAGAAGAACGTATATTTTGTTGCTTTGGGGTGAAGTGTTCTGAAGATGTCAATTAAGTCCATCTGATCTAGTGAGTCATTTAGGATTGCTGTTTCTTTGCTGATTTTTTGTCTAGCAGATTTATCCAGTGATGTCAGTGGTGTATTAAAGTCCCCTACTATGATTGTATTGTTGTCGATCTCTCCCCTGATGTCTTCCAGGAGTTTTCTTATGTATGTGGGTGCTCCTGCATTGGGTGCATATATGTTTATCAGGGTTATATCCTCTTGTTGTATTGATCCCTTTAGTATTATGAAGTGGCCTTCCTTATCTCTTGTTATGGCCTTCACTTTGAGGTCTATTTTGTCGGATATAAGTATTGCTACCCCAGCTTTTTTTTCATTTCCATTTGCCTGAAAGATATTTTTCCATCCCTTCACTTTCAGTCTGTGTGAGTCCCTTTTAATGAGGTGGGTCTCTTGTAGACAGCAAATGTATGGGTCATGTTTTTTTATCCATTCAGCCACTCGATGTCTTTTGATTGGACCATTTAGTCCATTTACGTTTAAAGTTATTATTGAAAGGTACTTGTTTGTAGCCATTTCTTTTTTTGTGTGGCTGTTTTCTTTCTGGGCTTTTTATTTCTTCTTTTTACACCAGTCCCTTTAGCATTTCTTGCATTGCTGGCTTGGTGGTGATGAACTCCCTTAGCCTTTTTTTGTCTGTGAAGCTTCTTATTTCCCCTTCAATTTTGAATGATAGCCTTGCTGGATAGAGTATTCTTGGATTCAGTCCTTTGCTTTGCATCACTTTGTAAATTTCTGTCCATTCTTTCCTGGCCTGATGTGTTTCTGTTGAGAAATCGTTTGATAATCTGATGGGGGATCCTTTGTAGGTAACTCTCTGTTTCTCTCTTGCAGCCTTTAAGATTCTCTCTTTGTCTTGTACATTTGCCATCGTTATTATGACGTGTCTTGGTGTGGGTCTTTTGGGGTTCATCTTGCCTGGGACTCTCTGTACTTGTGTAACTTTTTTCTTCCCCATATCTGGGAAGTTTTCTGTCATTATTTCTTCAAATAGATTTTCTAATCCTTGCTGCTCTTCTTGTCCCTCTTGCAGCCCTATTATGCGTATGTTACTTCGTTTCATGTTGTCCCGAAGCTCCCTTAGGCTCTCCTCCTGTTTTTTAATTTTTTTCTCCAGTTGCTGTTCAGATTGAGCTTGTTTCTCTGCCTTATCTTCTAACTCACTAATTCGGTCCTCTGCTTCTTTCAGCCTGCTGTTGAAACTTTCCATGGTGTTTTTGATTGTAGCTATATCACTTTTCATTTCTTCCTGATTCTTGCATAGGTTGTTGATTTTCTCATCCATCCGGTGAATGAATTGTACAACCATTATTCTGAATTCTTTTTCTGTCATGTTGCACGCTTCAACTTCATTAATTTCCTTTCTTGGTGATTCCTCATTGTCTTTCCTCTGGGTGTTGTGTCGTTTCTTCATTCTGCTTATCTCCCGATGGATCAAAGGTCGGGTTGCGTGGGCCTGGGCCGTGTGCAGTGGGAGCCTCCCACCACCTTAGTGTCACTGAAGAGCTCTGACACTAAGATGTGTGGTTGTTGTTGGTTGGTGGGAACCAGGCTCGCTCTGAGTCAGTGTTGCCAGCGCTCAATGTGGCCTCGTATGTGCCCTTAGAATTAGGGACCCTGCCTGCACCGTGCTGAAATAGAGACCCCCCTGGAGCGTGTTGAAAACCAGAGCCCCCTAGCATGCGCCAGGAGTCAGAGTTCCCCAAGAGTCCAGTATCAGAGTCTCTGTTGCTTTGCGCGACTTCGCCTTGAGAATCAGGGTCCCTGTGTGCCCTTGCACCAGGAATTGGATTCACTGGCTCTTAGTATGAATGCACAGGGAATCAGGATCTCAGGCGCAGGTGATAAGAAACACAGTCAAGTCACTGGTGCTTGGTGCTGCCTCCTGCCCCGAGAAAAGGGATCCTTGGGCCTGTGCTAGGCAGACAAATTCCCGTTCGCGCGATTGCTCCCAGCCCAGGGCTCCGAAGTGTGGTGGGCTGCTTGTGGGGCTACTGCTCCTAGGATCAGCTGCTGCTCGTCGGACAGGTGCAGGCTGTTGTGGCTCTGCTCCTGGGACCAGTGCGTGCTGCGTAGAGCTGCCACTCCTCGGATGTGGGCGGTATGCTCATGTGGTTGCTGTTCCTTGGACCGGGTGGGCTGCTGCTGCTCCTCGAATGGGGCCGGGCCGTTTGCAGAACTGCTGCTCCTCGGATGGGGGCGGGCTGCTCACACAGCTGCTGTTCCTCGGATTGGGCAGCCTGCTCGTGCAGCTGCTGCTGCTTGGGCGAGGGCAAGATGCTTGTGCAGCTGCTGCTCCTCGGACTAGTGCAGGGTGCGGGCTGTGCGCAGTTGCTGCTACTCGGATGGGGGCGGGCTGCGCAGGGCTGCCTCTCCTCAGACGTAGGAAGACTGCTCGTGCGGCTGCTGCTCCTTGGACAGGTCAGACTGCTCGTGTGGTTGCTGCTCTTTGTACGGGGAAGTGGGCTGCTCACACAGCTGCTGCTCCTTGGACAGGGGCAGGCCACATGAGGCTGCTGCTTTTAGGCTCGAGGCAGGCTGCTCACGGGGCTCACGTGTCTGTTGCTCACGTGGTTGAAAAAATAATGTGAACAGAAGTAGGAAATAAAGGAACAAACAAAAAAATGGAGAACAAAGAAAGAAGAAAAAAAAAGCAACAAACAAAAAAAAAGGGAAAACAAAGAAAAAAGCAAAAAAAAAAAAAAGCTAACAAAATAATAAAAAAATAAATTTGAAAAATTGAAATGTCATTCCTTTGGCTGGCTTAAGATCCCAGTTTTCTGGAATGTCTGTGTCTCTATGACATTTTTTATTCCTTCTGCTAAGTCAGAAAATTATTTTAATAGCTACAAAATATATATATATAATTTTTTTTTTTTACAGAATCAGTGTAGAATAGCTGTTGGTTTCTTCATAATTATCAGAATTATTTATACTTGAGGTCTTGGCTAAGTGGGGCTGAAATCAACTAAAGGTCTTGGATTGTTGGCTCAGAAATCATCCTAGGAAGCACGCCTTGTTGATATATGTCATGCTTAGCTTTTATGAAATGACCTGGTCCTTTTTATTAAAAACATCTTTTTATTCATTCTTTGGAGGCTTGAGTGACTGGCAGCATTCATCAAACACCTTCCAGCCCCTGACATTTACCACTTCTTCAGCATTCAGTTCTGACTGCATCCATTTCAACTTTGTCTGTTCTTTTCTAAGTTGCTTTAATAACATGAAATCATCCAGATTCTTTTCTCTCTCTTCTCGGAGGTGTTTTAATGCTGATGAAGTTTGAGCTGTACAATTTTTTATGACTCTGTCCCTACTGACATGAGCCTCATCAAACTCATAAAATTGTTTACAGGTTTGGCTGGCATAATTGTTTCCTGCAGAGAGAGCTGTTATAACCATAGTGTTTAATTCATGTCCTGTCCTGTCATCAGTTGCCCTCATCACCTTAGTAATTCCTGGAACTGGGCAAACTCCTCATGGTTCACATGCCACTGGGCACCACCATATTGGACCTACATCTTTCATTCTTCCTACTAGGAATTTCCTTCCCTCTTGACTTAGTGATATTGACATGTCTTCCTGTAACTTATTTATTGGACTTTGCAGAGTGAAGTAGAAATTTTATTCTATCTTGTCATTATTCCTTTAAACAAATTCCCTGTGGAATTGTTCTTCCCCACCCCTGGATAAAATACTGTGCGTAATATTTGTACCATTCTTTGTGCTCTTCACAGGCTAATATTTTGTTAGGAACTATACTTTCATCACAACACTCCTCTTGTAAAGATGCTAAGGAGGCATGGTTTGAAATTGACTTCAACATTATGCCTTACCTTAGTCTGCCTCCTTTGTTTTCTACCTTCCTCACTCAAGGTATTTTCCAACTTCCTTCATGATCCACAAGCCACAGGCATTTCATTATTAGCGTGGCTTCTGAAGGGTGTATTCTAGTCCTCTGGCAATGTAAATTCTACCAATGTTCCTTATTCTCCATGACGTTTTCTTCTGATTCTCAAAATAGCATTGATATTTCCCATCTTTGAATTATTATTCTGCTCATTAATAATACAAATTATTATATTTAAAAATATCTCAGTATTGCTCTGATTTAACCTCCCTTGGTTTGTCTGTGTCTTCCCCACTCCTTCTTCCCCAACCATTTAATTATAAGTGCCTTGAAGGCTGAGATTGTGCTTATGTTATATTTGCATGTGTCATAACCAAGGAACATAGTAATTGTGAATTGATTAATTAATGTTTAACATGAAATCTTATCTCCCACCTCCTTAATTGTGATTGCCACAAAAATTAGAAAGCAGATATGTAAATCATAACAAAAATTGAATATCTAGGTGACAGCAAATCAAATTAAATTAACACAGACAACAGCATGATGATTACCAGAGGAGAAGAGGTGGGAGAGGTAGAAGAGGGTCTGAGGGGAAAATGGTGGTGGAAGAAGACTTGATTTGGGAACACACAATATACTATATGGATGATGTATTAGGAATTGTACACCTGAAACCTATATAATTTTATTAACCGATGTCACCCCAATAAATTAAATTAAAAACTTAAATTTAAAAATAAAAATGTAATTTTGCAGAATTAATGCTAAAATGATTGTAATAAAACATTTATATTCACCTATAGTTTGGATCCAGGATCTTCACTCGAAACACATACATTCCAGTATGCGGAAGAGGCCAAACTAAATGGTTACGGTTAGACTTGTTGATAATCTCGTATGGTTGACTCAAGTCTCCTGGTTTTCCAATACCATAAGAAAAACAGTGCTTATAGTTCTGAATAGGAAACAAAGACAAAAACCCACTTGATCAAGCCATCGATAGCCTCTGAGAAAACAAATCTCCCCTAGCCTCAGGAATTACACCTTCTTTCTAGCCAAGGACTTCTTGGAATAGTATGTCAGCCCTGTCTAGAAACGTGAATCCTGTCTTGAGTTGTATGTGTGTAGCCAATAATTCAGTACCATTTCTCCCTTTCCTTCTCAAGCCCTAACATTAACTTGGAAGATCCTGTGAAAATGTCACTTTTACTTTAGAGTCCTTCAGTTTTTCTTCTGAGAATTTACATCTCTAGAGTTACCTCCGAGATCTTTTATGCAGGCTATTCATCCCTGTAGAGTCAGGACTATGCAGCAATCAGCGTGGCTCCAGGAACTGGAATGCTATTTCATTCCAAACATATGTTTCAGGGAAAGAGCGCCACTGGTGGCCATGTTCAGATAATATACCCTCGGGAAGGGTAGCTTTGCTTACCCAGACATAACTAGTCTTTGCAGGTACCTGCGTTCCATTATACTCAGACTCCAGACTGTATGCACCCTTCCGGTGCAGAGCTTTGTGTCTCCATACAGTAGGAGTGAGTATTTAGGGCCTGGTGTGGGCACTCCAAACCTTTCTTCAATGTAAGCCACTATTTCACTGGTTCTAAAACAGCCGTGGGCAAACTACGGCCCGCGGGCCGGATCCGGTCCGTTTGAAATGAATAAAACTAAAAAAAAAAAAAGACCGTACCCTTTTATGTAATGATGTTTACTTTGAATTTATATTAGTTCACATAAACACTCCATCCATGCTTTTGTTCCGGCCCTCCGGTCCAGTTTAAGAACCCATTGTGGCCCTCGAGTCAAAAAGTTTGCCCACCCCTGTTCTAAAATGTGGTCCCTAGATCAGCAGTAGCAGCATCACCTGTGAACTTGTTAGAACTGCAGATTTTGAGGTCCCTCCCCAGATCTGTTGAACCAGCAACTTTGGAGGTATGGCCCAGAGACCTGTTCTAGCAGTGGTCGGCAAACTCATTAGTCAACAGAGTCAAATGTCAACAGTACAATGATTGAAATTTCTTTTGAGAGCCAAATTTTTTAAACTTAAACTATATAGGTAGGTACATTGTTATTAACTTAATTAGGGTACTCCTAAGCTGGCCTTTGCTAATAAACGTCCTCAATCTAATTGAGGTACGTTCGCTGAGGTCGATCCCTTCCAACTCTCCCATCCACACTCGTCTTGTATACTTGTTTCGTCTATCTCCTCTCTGAAAACTGACTTCTGCGCATGGGCCACGAAGTTTCAATCGCACTGTATGTGTGCGCCCACACGTGGTATTTTGTGGAAGAACCACACTCAAGGGGCCAAAGAGCCGCATGTGGCTTGCGAGCCACGGTTTGCTGACCACTGCCCTAGGTGATTCTGATGTGCATTAACATCTGAGAAACACTGCACTGTAGCATACTGACTGGGGAACGCTCCAGGACTTTAGTTAACAAGTGGCCCATTGCTTCAAGTAATGTGTTGTTTTGGCTAAATCCTAGAACATTTGGGTGCCTTCTGTGAGATTTTGGCAAATAGAGTGTCACACAACCCAGACCCTTCAACAAAAGTCATAGGGCAAGTTTCTTTTTTAACTGACTCCATGACGAGTTTAATTCCTTATGCTTTTTAAAAATATATATTTTATTGATTTTTTTACAGAGAGGAAGGGAGAGGGATAGAGAGTTAGAAACATCGATGAGAGAGAAACATTGATCAGCTGCCTCCTGCACACCCCCTACTGGAATCGAACCTGGGACCCTTCAGTCTGCAGGCCGACTCTCTATCCACTGAGCCAAACCAGTCAGGGCTTCCTTATGCTTTCTTAATAGTGGAATTAATACTCTATAAGAAGGTAGATGGCTATACTCTATTAATTAGTTCCACAGATATTTATTGAGCACTCATAATGGGTAGATGGTGGGGATACAGCAGTGAACAAAACACACACAATTTTGTTCGCTTATGCAGCTTGCATTTCAGTTGGGGAGCCAGACAATAAATGGGATAAATAAGCAGACTACATACCCAATGTGTCAGTGAGTGACAAATGCTAATGACATTAAAGAAAACTGGGAAGGAAGATATGGACTGTCATGGGGTGATGGTTAACTTTTTCTAGAGAGTGGACAAGGAAGTCTTCATTGACTAGTCGATTTCTTTTAAAATGTATTTTTATTGATTACAGAGAGGAAGGGAGAGGGAGAGAAAGATAAAAACATCAATGATGAGCCCAAACTGGCTTGGCTCAGTGGATAGAGCATCCGCCTGAGGACTGAAGGTCCCGGGTTCGATTTCGGTCAAGGACACATGCCGGGGTTTTGGACTCCACCCCCAGTGTGGGGTATGCAGGAGGCAGCTGATCAATGATTCTCTCTCAACATTGACGTTTCTCTCTCTCTCTCTCTCTCTCTCTCTCTCTCTCTCCCCCTTCCTCTCTGAAATCAATAAACATATATCAACAACAACAACAACAACAAAATCCCAAAACATCAATGATGAGAGAGAATCATTGATCGGCTGTCTCCTGAACACTGGGATGGAGCCCGGAACCTGGGCCCATGCCCTGACATAATCAAACTGTGACCTCCTGGCTCACAGATCGATGCTCAGCCACTGAAACACACTGGCTGGGCTTGACTAGTTGATTTTATATATATATATATATGGTTTTTTTCTTTTTGACTAGTTGATTTTTAAGTAAAGACCTGGAGGAGGAAGCTGGCTAGTCATAGGGGAGGGGCATAGCAAATGATGAAGGCTTTGCTGTAACTGAGATGGGAACCATTTCATGGTTTTGAGCAGAAGAGTGACATGTTCTCGTTTATGTTTTGGAAGGAACACTAGCTGCTGTGTTGTGACTAGATTCGTGGTGGGCAAGGCTGAGGCACGGAGACCAGCAGGGACGCTGCTGTTCTAACCCAGATGGTTGGTGATGGAGGGGCAGGGTGGTGGCAGTTGGGGTGGTGAGGAATGACCAATTCAGAATATACTTTGAAGGAAGAGCCAACAGATTTCCTGGAAGACCAAATGTGGGCGTGAGATGGCGCTCAGAGGCTTCTTTCCTGATGAAGCTGCAAGGATGGGATTCCCACTCACCGCGGCGGGAAGGACGCTGGGCTATGTTTGTAGGGTGGATAGTAGGAGCTCAGTTGGGACATGTTAAGTTTGAGATGTTAATGGAAGCACCATAAATTTTCTTTAACACGGGGTTATTTGTCTCATCTTAGTAAAAAAATAAGACCCTCTCTTCGCCTCTTGCTCTCTAGCTACTACACTATGTCATTCTCCCCTTTGCCCCAAAACTCCTCACAGGAGATGGCTATTCTTGCTGCTTTGAATTCATTGTTTCCATGTTAATTAAACCCACTTCAGTAAGTTTTTGTCTCTCACGCTGCACCTAAATGGATCCTTCAAGGTTACTAGTTATCTCCATGCTGCTAATGTACATGATCAGTTTTCAATGCTCACCATAGTTGACCTGTCTTAGTGTGGACTTGACACAGTTGATCCCTCCCTCCATGTAAGACTTGCTTTACATGTTGTCTGTCTGGAAAACCACGCTCACCTGGCTTTCCTCCTGCTTCTTGGATTTTTCCTCTCTCATCTCCTTTGACCTCCTCATTCCCCCAGTCTCTAAATAG